AAAAGAAAACAAAGAAAAAAAAGATAAAGAAAGGGAAATGAAATGTCTATCTTCTATGTTGTTCTTGTTGTTCCTGTTATTTATTTCATTGATTTCTGCCCTTGTCAGTATATTTTCTTCTTTTTTTTTTTTCTTGAGATAGTCTCACTCTGTCACCCAGGCTGGAGTGTAGTGGTGCAATCAAAGCTCACTGTAACCTCAAACTCCTGGGCTCAATCAAGCAATCTTCCTGCCTGGGCCTCCCAAAGTGGTGGATTACAAGTATGAGCCACCATGCCTGGCCTTCTTTCTTGTTTCTTTAAGTTGCTCTGTTGACGCAGGATTTGCTTGCAGCGGAGGCTTGGCAAAGGAAAGTAGCTGAAGTAGAAAAACATCTGGCCTTCGAAACAGCACTCTTCCATTATTAGTGCAGAAGACAGCTGATACCTGTGCTAAGATTGTCTGATATCTTAGGGTCAGCCCTATTGGGTGTGTTCTAATGTGCCCTGGCATAAAGCCATCGCAGGTGGAACCAAGGCAACTTGGTGTTGTAGGAGGAGATTACATGTGCTAACCAAGGTTTATGTAGGGGTTCTCTGTGATGTACAACACACACTACAGGGATAGGGTCGCCATGCATTTTCACTAGTTACCAGTGAACAAATACAGTGCCTACTGCACCGATTTAGACACTAGGGACATAGAAGTGAAAAAGAATGGGTCTCTGTCCTCATGGAGTTTATATCATGAATGTTGAAATTATTTTGTCTCTGGTGCTAGACCATGTGTCAAGGAGGCAAGAACTACTATCTTGGAAAGACAAGATATTCATGTCTCAAGTAAATATCGAAAACACCATATATGAAGAAATCCATGTTTATTTATATTTCTGTTATCTCGTTGCATAAAATCACATGTGACATGACCTATCTTTGCCAGATTTCGAGAGTGTGCCTGGGATAGTCTGTCTTAAAATGTAGACAACCGGATATACATAAAATTCACATGATTTCTGCTTATAGCTCATTGCACAAAATGTGTCATATGGACATCTCTAGTTGCAAGGATATCTAGGAAGGTATAATAGATGTTTTAAACTGAGCACATTGCCATCCTAAACAAAATTGAGATTTAGTTAATAAAGAGTGAAAGAATTTGTTTGTTCATTCTGTTAGCTTTTCTAAGTAGATG